ATCGTCATTTAAACCTTTTAAAATTATATTTTCTAATGCCTCTTTAATATTATAGACAACAAAAAGGATGAACTATAATTTAAAGTTTAGTGGCTGGCTTTATAGAAATTTGCAATATCTCTCTATTAAGAACAGGCACAATCTTTATTAAAGTTAGTGATCTGCGCATGCTCAGATGTCAACATAAGAGCGGCACTAATAGTGACTGACCTTAAGTGAACTTGCAATAACTCTCTATTAAAAGATTTTAAAATTATTAAATTGTCAACGCCTCTCAGTAGGCGGAACACTCATTATTACATTGAGGGGAGTAATGTCATTTGATATTTTAACAAGATAATTTTGACGTTTTCAAATCGATTTCTAATAATAGTGCTAAAAAAAGATTAATTTAGATAGTGAAGATGAGTTATTATGTACACCTCCAGAAATAAGAGAGATAGCTAATAATGCAATACAGAATTTATTACCAGAAAAATCAAAAAACAAGTATAAAGGTGTATACTAAAATTTTCAAGATTGGTGTAACTCGTTTACAGAAAATGTACCTTTGGCATATTTTAATGAACTTAGCAATAAATATAAAGCATCGTCTCTATGGACTTTCTACTCTTTGCTAAGAAGCACATATATGATCTCGAGACAGGAATGAAATTTCCTACCGAGGTTTGTATACTATTTTATTTACAACCATCATATTTCGATCAAAGTTAATAAATCTCTGTTTTGTTCTGAACATACCTAAAATATTACATTTAACGACAAATTACCAAGCGCGCGGTTTTCTCAGAATAATCAAGTAGGTAAATATATTGTTACTGTGATTACGGGGTAAACAACTGTCACCAATATAAATAAATGTCAGATAAAGCCGAATAATAAATATCAATATGATAGGATTCCCCACTCGACCATTCACTGTTGGGTTCTAATTAACAGTGCTGTTCCTAAAGTAGCGCTGGGAAACAGTAACAAAGCCTACACAGAACACGAAGCTAATAACCATAGCAATTGATGCCGATGACACAAAAAAAAATCAATAAGTAGTTTGTTATATTTTAGGTCATTGTTGTTTTTTATTGTTTGCCATTAAATAGGTATTATAAAATTTGTCAAACACTGTGTTATTTTTTTTTTTAAATATAAAAAATATTCATCTAGAATAGATGAAATGAGGGCGGGAAGTGAGGACGGGAAGTAGAGGTGTGTAATGTGACACTTCCCAACCTTCAATGACGTTAGTAATGACATTACATATATGGTTGTAAATAAAAATATTTACAGCAGAACAACTTAATAATTTCATAAATGAAGCTCCTGATGAGAAATATCCGGAGACAAAGGTAATAGCTTTTACAAAGATTCAAACGTTTGTATTATCTAGTCAATTATATCATTCTTTCTCGATACTTGTATCTTAGTATTTATTGTTATAGTCGTAGATAAAGTATAGTATTCAACTTGAGGTAATGGTCATAACTCACGCAGATGAAGTTTGCAGCACGAGCCGCAGGCGAGTGCTGTAATTCATCAAGTTACCGCTCGTTAAATAATATACTATTTTTCTACACGGCAATAAGTAATAATGTTACAACACACCCACCAAATAGACATTTTCCAAAAAATGACATACATGACATTACTAGCCAAAAAATTCAAGTTATTGTATTTTAACAAAGTTGTAGTTTTAGAAATGTATTTGAACCCCTGCAATAAGCCCTTATTAAATTCTGGATGATCGCAGAACGTTAAGTGTCCTGAAGGCCGTAAAGTCAAACATCGCATGTTTGAATCCTCCCGGGATGTGCCGCTTTTTTCAATTTTTTCTTTGGTATGTTTTCACTTTAGGTGTTTAGGAATATTATTTCCTAATTTCCTACCTAATTTTGATTAGTTTTCGGACCTTTAACGAATATAGAATTTATTTCCCTTTCTTTAAAAATCAACTGTACAAAAGTATTATTATGCATATTATTTATGACAAATTAAACATAACTTGTGTTTTATTTCTTCAAAATACAATTATATATAGACATTTTGCGGTACAAAAAAATTATCAATACTGAAACCATTTCCTGCAATTTTAAATACTTAAATAATGTTCGAGAGAGAAGTGAAATACAATTTTTAAAACGAATGGCTCATAAACGTATTTTTTTATGGAGCATATACTTGTGGCATGACGCGGAGTGAGTCAGCCTTTGTGGATTGATTTAAAAATTACGAATTGTTTTTATTGCCGTTGAGAATTCATTTTATTGCAACAATAATGTTTGTTCGTATTTGAGATAAGATTACAAAACATCTTATAACTTGGCTAATATAGCTAGAAAATTAAAATAATGCCTAGGTACTACCTAATGTCTACTTTCATTTTGTGCCAATCTCACATACTTTGATTTTCTCTTACTATACGGAGAATGGTCGCACTGCGCAGCTTTCTGAGTGCCTTTCAGGGCCGTAGCTAGCCCCATGTTTGGGGGGGGCTAAACAAAATCTTAGGGGGGGTGTCATTTTTTTATTAGAGTATAAAAATTCCAAAAAGACATGAGGAATTTTGTTTTGAATTCCTTCCTACGAGGAGGGTATTAAAAAAACAAGCAATTATAAAACACATATTTATTCAATAAAAAATATTTTGATTAAACAAAAGAATAAACTCTACAAAAAAATATAAAACGTCTTTTCCTATAAACATTTAATTAGTTGAGGGTTGAGTTAGTAAAAGCGGCATCAAATATGCCAAAGAGTTAAAAAATTATTATATTTTTTTTTTATCAATTTTCAGAATAATTGCAGTTTCCAATTTTTTAAATTATTAAACTCAACCAGCAGATTTTCAATATTTATATTTTTTGTTCTCTTTTTCAAATGCTAAATGGGTAAGGTTTGCCAGTCTCGGATGTAACATTGACCTCCGCTGAGGTGGCTGAGTTCTATCAATTCTAGTCAGGACAGCAAAACTGGATTCACAAAAAGCCGTACTACAGGCGAAAGTACGCCAAGTCGCTAGGCATTCATAAGTTTCTTTAAAAGCAGTGTTTTGCCTAAATATACACTGAAAAATATTGCAATTATCTACAGCATTCTCGTTTCTCTGTCGATTTATATATTTCTTGACGACTTCTATTTCCGCAGCACTTGTCAATTGAATGCCCAGTTCGGCCAGTGGTTGAAATTTTTCAATATCTAATTTTTCTCCTGACATAATAGCTTCAATTAAATCATTGTTGTCGTTAAATCTACGTCTTAGCTCTACTAATATTGTCAAGAACTTCAAAAAATATTTGTTTGAAATCTTGACACTACAGGAAAATTAGGGGAATTACCGAAATAAAATTTATGGTTATCCTTTTTCCGATTTCCAGTTGAAATTTATTGTCTGTGGCTTTGTGTTTATTATGTTTTGATTAAAATGGATGACAGTAAGCAATAAGTAACTGTTAATAAATATAGTATTTTCTTGTAAGATAATATAAGTGACTCAAACCATTACTAAAAATATATTGATATAACGGTTCTACTATAAAATTTTTATAGTAAGTACATTTTTGTAGACAAGCTTTAGGGGGCTCAGCCCCCCTGGCGCCCCCCTCGCTACGGGCCTGGTGCCTTTTAAAATGAGATAGAAAACTCCGCCATTTTAATGCCTTATTACGTGTTGCCTACATCTTGGCGCAATATTTTTAATAGGTGCGTTTTAATCATCCGCTTCTGCTTCGGAATTGTTTTAATCTGACAGGTTAAAACGACTAAACCGACAATTCCGGAAGCAGAAGCGGATGATTAAAACGCATCTGATATTTTGCTTGCTGCTATCAGTGTCAGTGAATATTATTTTTGGAGTCACTGTTTATTGCTAAAGAATCAGTTAGCTCACTCGGACCAGTTGAAAGTTCCAAAATAACATCCACTCAAGGGATACAAATTCAGGATGCGCAGAAGACTACTGTTTTATTATAGGCAGTTGTATTATCCGAGTTGCACAGTGTATAAACTGGAACATTGAGATCAAAAGTGCCGACGCAGAGTGAGCGAATTGATTCTTTAGCTATAAACTGTGGTAAAGGCATCAAAATGGCCGCGCCCTATGTTGGGCGTGTCCGTAGACTAGTTCAGCGGAAGAACAATTCAAATCTTCCTTTACTGCACTTCTCGAACCTAATAAAATCAATGGTAGTTCATCTTTCCAATTATTGTTATGCAGTTTGGCCATAAGAGATGCTTTTAGTCACATTCAGAAATCGTTATTGCCCCAACTGATTGTTTTGAAATATATATAATTTTCATTAAGCGGATAACTTGTTTTCCTAAGGGAAAAACGAAACCCGGGATTCCTTTCCAGTGTGTGCCCCACTGCCGCTAGTGTCCACGAGCCGCCACTGTAAATAACTCAATAATATTGGCAGAGACTTTTGTATTAAAACCGTAATAGGAGAGTGTTGTTTGTAAGATGTCATATGCCCCTTTTAGATCTAAAAAAATACATGCTGTGTATTCATTTTTTGAGAATGAATATTATTTTTGTGCGTTGACGTTCACGTTTACGTTAACGTACTGGAAACACTTCAACTCTCTAATGCCCGTATCTGTACTCACATATGAACGTAATTCATTTTTGGGATGTTATTTTAAATTTGCACAATGGCGCCAAAAGTGCTGAGGCGCGTGCTGGACAGTGTTCATCGGGAAAGTACTCAATTAATTTTGGAGTGTGACGTGTGACAGCAGTGTAAAGTAAGCGTAATAGACCTAAATACAGATTCATTCATATAACGATTGCTAGCTCCTCAGATAAGTATACTCACACAAAACATCCCCACTCAAATTAGCAGTTGTCACCTTCGTTCTAATGCGGCAGTTGATGTCTGCGTAATAATAAACACAATCTGAATGATTGCAATAAAAAGGGCTTAATTATGAATGAATGGATTAGTGTAGTGGTTTTTCGTGGTTGGTTTGGTTGCTGTCTAAAATTAAAAAAATACATATTTACTTACATTGAATTTTTCCTGTGCTTTGGCTGAATCTGACGACCTGACATGAAGTACATTTTTCTTCTGAAGAGCATCAAATTTACTAAAACTTGATTTCTAGAATAAAACAAATCAATTATTAGCCACGTCATTTAATATGCCATATGATTTGATTTTCTATGCAAGCCCAACTGCTAAAATTGACGGATTGGCTAACATATAATAATCTTCTAGATTGTCATATCTGACACTGCATATTTTTGGACTCTAATAGAAAATCTTGTTCATCTGGTAAATGTATTCAAAGTTAAACATTATATTACGTGTGAAACCAAAAAATATATACTTTTTCACGAATAAAAGAAATTATTATTTGCTTTTCCACTACATGTTACTTTATATACTTAATAGGACAATAAAACATACAAGTTAAAATTATTGTTAAACTAAAGGATTTAGGAAAGTATTGTCGGACCTGGTTTATCCCCATACTCACCAGATTTGATTCCGTGAGATCTTTTTTTTGTACTGAAACTGTAGATCACCAAAAATAAATAATATTAACCAATTTCAGACACCTAGAATGATTCGATCAAAGTATTTAATTTACCAATAATCGTTATATACCGGATGTCCGCGCGAAAACTTTGGACTTTATTTTTGGTAAAATTTAAGTTGGAATCTTGACCTAATTCCACATACCTTTTATCCTACTACCTACGTATCTCCATCATATTTCTTACTAATTTTAGAAATATTTACTCGTAGAAGTTTTCTAATAAACCCTTAAATATATTAAGTTGTAGTGGAAACGCAAATATAACGAATTATAGAGAATAATTGTTTACCAGTTTTTACAATAAATACTTACCGAACTATTTTTGAAAGGCAGTTTTACAATACCCAGTGGATTTTTATTCTCGAAGATGTTAAACTTTTCTTTCTGTTAGATTTGCCATGCAAAAACCATGCGAAAAAAAATACAGTTAGTATCAAAATAATAAAAAAAAATAAACCCAAAAAAAATACAAAACCAATTAAAAAGTAATAATATTCCACCTTCAATTATATTATATTTCCCAAAAAATTAATTAATTAATAAAATATACTACTAATATTGTTTGGCACATTTTAAAATATTATTTAGAAAAAAAGTTAATCTAGTTTTATTTATTTATTAAGAAAAAATATCACTTATTATTAATACACATTTTTAGTAAATATCACATTATAAAAAATGATATATTAAATAGAAAATATTGATTATTTTAATTTACATTAGATAATAGAATACCCAGTTCTAGAACAATATAGATTTTATACAGGGTATCCCGAAATTAGACGGTCATATTTTAACAGCATATTCTACATCCTAAAATAGGAGTAAAAGTTTATATAAACTTAGGTTCGAAAACGTTTCTTTTCCGAGATACAGGGTGTTAAAAGTCCTGATGACACTCTTTTGTAAATATTTTCTAAACGTTTAAAGATAACTAAGTGAAATTTGGTACAAATGCTTACCTTCTTACGCTTTATTTAATGGACTAAACCCCAGTTTTTGATCATCCTCATAGGTGGGTAAATTAGGGGGGGCTTAGGGTAAAATTGCCCTAAGTTTTTTTTTGTTGACAGTTTTTAACATTTTTGGCTATAAAATTTGGAAAACCAATGTTTCCTTTATAATAAAGCTACAATTGTTGCATCTCGCTAGGACGCACCATTTTCAAGAAAAAAGCATTTGAAAATTTCATGATAAGTTATTCGAAAGTGTAAAGGATAATTAGTAGGCCTGTGAAATCAAAAATTTTTTTACTTTGGAAAACCGGTGACTAAAGAAATTTTAGAAAATATTTACAAAAATGTGCCATCAGGACTTCACTTGTAACATCCTGTATCTCGAAAACGAAACGTTTTCGGACCTATGTTTATATGAATATTTATTCTTATTTTAGGATGGATGTAGATTACGCTGTTAAAATATGACCGTCTAATTTCGTTCTAAATTCTCAAAAATGATACTTATACAGGGTGAGTCATGAGGAACCTTACAGACTTCTACCATATGTAGAGTCCCTTAAGGGGTATATCATATGAGCATTAAAAAGTGGCAACTCCCCTTCGTTATTAATAGACGGGGTGGGGTGTTTTGTGAATTTTGACAAAACTTTATATGACCGTAAAATCTACAAGGATTACTAGATTTCTTTAATTTTTTGGTGGAGCATTACACTGGTGTCTAGCATTTAATTCATATCATCAAAAGTTAAAAATTCCAGGATTGGCTTAGGAAAAATTAATCTCGACGATTCATATCAAAAAGTTCGCCCTGTATAAGATTTTTTTAAATTATAATAAGATATTTTTAAAGTACATAGACAATCAAAACTGTGTATGTGACATTTTTGTCACCTTTTTTTTATTAAGGTTCGATTTTAGGTAAAACTGAAAAATCACCTTAAGGGGTCACATAAATTATGTTATAACATAAAGAAAACATTGTTAATTGTATGCATTTGAACTAAACGAGCCAAACATAAGCCTTTAGTGAGCTTACTAGATCGTTAAATTCATTTTCGACAATTTCCAGATCCGGATTAGTTCATTTTTAAATTTTAAATAGAAATCGGCCTATTTTTGTAGACTGTAGAAACTACTCAACTAAATTAAACATGTCAATAATCAATAAATAAATTGTAGCGAATAACAATAACGAACAATAAATTCACACTTATTAATTAATAATTATAAATGCTATTTATTAACCTCTAATAAAAACTGCACATTTTATTCTTGCAACTAAGATATTATGTGGTTTTATTTTTATTATAAATACATAGTAGGTACCTATGTATCAAGGTAGGTTGTGATAGTTTGACGTTTGTTTGTTCTTATTTATTTGTCATTTGCAACCATTATTTATGCGTGTAAAATAATATTTCGCTTTTTTTATCTATTTTACAATAGTGTTAGAATTTTTGTTGTTGGTGTTGTTATTCAAAATGCCCCATAAGTTTTCAAATGCAGAATATGCAGATATCATTTTTATGTACGGATTCTGTAATGGGAATGGCAGAGCTGCAGCAAGAGAATATCATAGAAGATTTCCTGGTCGTCGAGTTCCCTGTCATTCAACATTTGCATCAGTTTTTAATTATTGGCGAGAACATGGCACATTCCCTAAAGCAAATACAGAACGAAATGTAGATCATGAGCAGGAAGATAATATTCTTGATGCTGTTATTGCGAACCCCACAATAAGCACCAGGAAAGTAAGTCGACAACTTTATGTTACCCAATCAAAAGTGACTAGAGTCTTACGAAAAAATAATTTACACCCATATCATATTCAATTAGTTCAGCGGCTACACCCTGGAGATGAAATACATAGGTTGGAATTTTGTAGGTGGATTGCAAATCATAGACCAGTACTGTATAGAACATTGTTTACAGATGAAGCACAGTTTACAAGGGATGGGATAAATAATTCCCCTAATTTACATGTGTGGGCAGTAGACAATCTCCATGCTGTTCGAGAGTTTCGGTCTCAGTTAAGGTTTTCCGTGAACGTGTGGATTGGTGTGATAAATAACCAATTTATAGGACCTCACTTTTTTGATGGTCCTTTAAGAGGACAAGTTTACTTAGACTTTTTGCAAAATACTTTGCCTAATTTACTTGCCAACGTAGGTATCCGAGGGATGTATTTCCAACATGATGGAGCATCGCCTCATTTTTTAGTTCCGGTAAGAAACCATCTAAATGATGTTTTTGGCAACAGATGGATAGGACGTGTAGGTCCTATTTCATGGCCTCCAAGATCCCCAGATTTTAACCCCGTAGATTACTATATTTGGGGACGATTGAAAGAATTAGTTTATTCACAAAATATTAATGACCGACAACAATTAAATGATAGAATTATCCTTTGCTCTAATGTTATTAGAAAGGATCCCTTGACTATCCGTAAATCAATAAGGCACTTAACGATTCGGCAACAAAAATGCGTAGAAGCTGGAGGGTTTCATTTCGAACAACTACTGTAATTGTTAATTTATTACCATGATTTTATTTTCTAGTATACATGTTACCATTATTCTATGTATGTAGTATTAGTTTTTTTTTAAATTTCTTAGTTGTTTATTATTCTAATTCGTTAAAATTTATTTATTGTTTGTTGATGAAATTTAAACGAAATAAAATATTTCTAATAAATACATATGAACTTATGTTTAATTTATTTGAGTCTCCAAAAATGTACAGGGTGTTTTTTGTTTAAAAATTAAATAAAAATTTATAACTAGGCCTGGAAATTGAATAAAATGATATTAACGGTGTAGGCACTAAAGGCTTATGTTAGACTCGTTTTAGTTCAAATGTATACCATTAACAATTTTTTCTTTAAGTTATAACATTATAATGTGACCCCTTAAGTTGATTTTTCAGTTTTGCTCAAAATCAAAACTTAAAAAAATTAAAGAAAATGTGACAAAAATGTCACATACACAGTTTTGATTGTCTATATATGTACTTTAAAAATATCTTATTATAATTTAAAAAAATCTTATACAGGGCGAACTTTTTGATATGAATCGTCGAGATTAATTTTTCCTAAGCCAATCCTGGAATTTTTAAATTTTGAGGATATGAATTAAATGCTAGACACCAGTGTAAAGATCTACCAAAAAATTAGAGAAATCTCTTTAATTTATAACATTATAATGTGACCCCTTAAGGTGATTTTTCAGTTTTGCTCAAAATCAAAACTTAATAAAAAAATTAAAGAAAATGTGACAAAAATGTCACATACACAGTTTTGATTGCCTATCTATGTACTTTAAAAATATCTTATTATAATTTAAAAAAATCTTATACAGGGCGAACTTTTTGATATGAATCGTCGAGATTAATTTTTCCTAAGCCAATCCTGGAATTTTTAACTTTTGAGGATATGAATTAAATGATAGACACCAGTCTAAAGCTCCACCAAAAAATTAAAGAAATCTAGTAATCCTTGTAGATTTTACGGCCATATAAAGTTTGGTCAAAATTCACAAAATTAATAACGAAGGGGAGTTGCCACTTTTTAATGCTCATATGATATACCCCTTAAGGGACTCTACATATGGTAGAAGTCTGTAAGGTTCCTCATGACTCACCCTTTATATTCAAAGCAATTTGATTTGCACACTTTTCTACAAATATTCTCTTCACAAGAATACCAGGCTTTGTCAAAATAACTTAACTTAAAAAACATTGGATTCTCTAGTATTAAAATTTAGCATTTAAAATAAGTAAGTTTTTATTACTAATTTTAAAAATATGTTCCGCATGACAATATAAAGGTTTTCTAAAGAAGCCATAAGCAAAAAATATTTTAAAGTGCCTCACTATGTATAGATTTTGAAAATTTACATATTTTATCTGAAAGAGGTTTATGTAAAATGTAAAATTTATAGAAAATGCTTACCAGTGCCCGTACTGAGACTTCCGTGAATACATTCTCGATATTTTGTTTGTTAGATGCAAGCAAGACTTCTGACAGCGACTTAGATCGCTACAAAACAAGCAAAAAAAAATACATGCAAAAATTTGTTCGGTACAAAGTCATACTTGATATTGCCACCACGTATCCTCAACCTTTTTATGACTGAATTTTTATACATTTTATGTTGATTTAATTTCTTTTTTTTTTTGATTTAACATTATCAATTTTGTAAGTATACATTTTCCTTTGATTGTAACCTTTTTCAATATTGGAATTTTTTCTATTATATGTCTGATAATGACTAGATAGCTGAAACTAGTCAGCAAAGTGATTCTTTATCGAACTAGTCTGAAATTATAAGCCGAGCGAGAGAAGCGAGCGAAACGAGTAACAGGCGAGTTCGATAAAGACACTTCGACAGACGTGATCCAAACAAACTTTTATCGCCAACCATAAATAATTATAATTAATAAAAAAAAGATATTATAAAATCATATTTTAGTATGGTATTGATTTGGAGTTTGCTTTATTCTATGGAATATTGCTAGCACATTCGAAACTATGGATAATATTTTATACCTATTGTTGTTATTAGTTAAACAAACTAATTATTTAAAATTCAAGGTGTCTGGAAATTCCGTGTACATGGAGCTACTACAGATTTATGGGCTCAAAATAAGTTAATTTTATTTATATACCACCATGCTTTTTTTGGCCTCTAGAGGTCACCAAAGTTAAATAAAAATATTTGTTTTTTAATATCTAGAATTCAGCTATTTTAAAAGATCAAACTTGTCACGAATATTAGCTGTTTTATGGCCAATTAAAAACGCCAAAACATAAGCGTCTTATAAGTGAAAACCAGAGAATACAGAGATATAACCATTCATTGATAAAATATAATATTCACGATGCCAAGATTAATTCGACAATCAATACGCTCTATGTGCAAGACGCTGTGCGCTTATAATAAACAACGTAAATATCCATGCCGGTCTAAGCCCTATTGCCACTTCCAACCTAACATGACTAGGTTTTGAAATTTATTAAAAATTATTACATCTAATATAGTTAAATTTGATATGACTAATGATTCAAAATGTTTTGGGTTCAGTTGCAATCTATCTATCTATCTATCTATCTATCTATCTATCTATCTATCTATCTATCTATCTATCTATCTATCTATCTATCTATCTATCTATCTATCTATATATCTATCTATCTATCTATCTATCTATCTATCTATCTATCTATCTATCTATCTATCTATCTATCTATCTATCTATCTATCTATCTATCTATCTATCTATCTATCTATCTATCTATCTATCTATCTATCTATCTATCTATCTATCTATCTATCTATCTATCTATCTATCTATCTATATATCTATCTATCTATCTATCTATCTATCTATCTATCTATCTATCTATCTATCTATCTATCTATCTATCTATCTATCTATCTATCTATCTATCTATCTATCTATCTATCTATCTATCTATCTATCTATCTATCTATCTATCTATCTATCTATCTATCTATCTATCTATCTATCTATCTATCTATCTATCTATCTATCTATCTATCTATCTATCTATCTATCTATCTATCTATCTATCTATCTATCTATCTATCTATCTATCTATCTATCTATCTATCTATCTATCTATCTATCTATCTATCTATCTATCTATCTATCTATCTATCTATCTATCTATCTATCTATCTATCTATCTATCTATCTATCTATCTATCTATCTATCTATCTGCATTAGGACGTGGTTCAAAGCCCACTTGTACTGAAGCTCTAGACTTATTGTACCCCTCACAGTTTCTATCCCATCAGATTAATTTTCTTGATGAATTCAAGTATATGTCTGATGGGCGCTTTCGCGATTTCTTCAGGTTCCGGATATTGTACCCCGAAGTACCATTCCCGTTCCCGTTAAAGGTTTCGGCAGAGGCATAGTAAGTGAATCCTCCTCTTCACATATTCTACATAGGGAGTCATCAGATATCCCTAAGAGATTTAGGTATCTTCTAAGGCCGCAGTGTCCCGTAAGGAGTCCTATTACGGCCTTGAGTGTGCTTCTGCTAAGATTTAGCATTTGATGTTGTCTGCTCGTGGATGGCCCCTCTATGGATCTTTTGGACTGTCTAAGTCCAGGAAGTTCCATCCAAAGCCTATGGTGTTCTCTTTTTATTTGTTCCTTTAACACCCATTTAACATGTTGGTATGAGATACCACATGTGGGTTCTGGTCCAATAAGAGTTTTTTCCGCTCCCTTCCTTGCTAGGAGGTCTGCTTTCTCGTTTCCAAACACTCATGTCCTATCACCCATTCAAGGGTGTCCTTGTTATGTTTTGCCAGAGCCTGGAGGGACTGTTGGCAATCAAATATTGATTTAGATTGTACTTCTACCCTTTTTAGTGCTTTAAGGGCTGCCTGACTGTCTGCTAGATAACGATCCTCTTATCTCTAAGAGTCATTTAGCATGACTTTGGCGCAGGCATTTATTGCTATTACTTCAGCCTGGAAGACTGTTGTCAGTGACCCCAGGTTGAAATTAATTGTCCTCCCTGAGTTCACATGGTAGATCCCAGCTCCTGTGCTGTTTTTCATTTTCGAACCGTCTGTATACCAGATTGATTCGTTTTGTTTTTCCTTATTTTCCCGGCTTTTGGCCCTTTCTGGTATTTGAATATCAAAAGGTTTCCTGAAGTCGTGAATAATGGGCGTTCTATCCGATGGCATTCTTAATACCGGATTTTGTTTTAATTTCTTTAATATCATTGTGTGGTGTCCTTTTCTCGAAAGTTCCCATCCAAATCCATTAGTAAACAGCCTGTATGCCGCCGCCATAGTCTCCTTCTCCACCAAAAGGTGTAGTGGAGGAAGACCTAGCAGTAACTCCATTGCTGCTGTGGGCGTAGTTCTAAATGCCCCTGTTATTATTAGACAGGCTAGTCTTTGTACTTTGTCTAATTTTCTGTTAGCTGTTATGCTTTTTGTCGTGTGCCACTATATGACTGATGAGTAAGTTATGACAACCATAGTGTAAAGCCAGTGCATCATACTTGGTCTAAGCCCCCATGCGTTCCCTACCATCCGTCTACAGGCCCATAGTATTCTTACAGCTTTTTCTGTTGTTTTTTCTATATGGCTGCAGAAGCTAAGCTTGTCATCGAGAGTGATTCCAAGATATTTAACCTCCTCTGCCATTTTTAGATGTTGTCCCCACATATTAAGCTCCTTCATTCCTTGAAGGTTCCTTTTTCTTGTGAACCTACGGTCTCGCTTTGCTTGTGTTGGAGTGAATAGTAAATGCTGTTCGCATGTGCAGGAGAGATAAGGATGCGGTACTGACGTTGCCAGTTACCGGTCCGTAGCAGGTTACCGATCCGTTACTCCGTATTTAGTCGCAAATTAAGTTTTAAAAATATACATACTACTAGTTATAATCCAGACTCAAACGGAAAGATAAAACGTTTCCATAGAACATTAATAGCATCTCTTATATGCTCATCTATACAGGTAGCAGACAAGCACTACTCATCCTGAACAGACCACGAATTTATTCAGGGTTAGTACTAGAATGTCACGAAGTTTTGGTCGAAGTATCCATCGTGGTCACATGGTCACCTTAAGATGGATCTAAGGTCACGCCACGTCGAAAGGTAACCGTATTGCTGAATCACTGGCCAAGAAAGTAGCCAACCTAATTCTTTTTGGACCTGGCCCTTCTATTGGCCTGACAAAATCGGTAGTGACAGACCTAATTAAAGAACACTCCCTTGTGAAATTCAAGGAAACATGGGATGAAACAAGAAACTGCAGAGTTGCCAGGGAGATTTTAAGTTATCCTGCAGCAAACAAATACTTGACTATGAATAGACACAATCTGCGCCTAGTGACAGGCATTCTAACTGGTCATTGCCAAGTACAGAAGCATCTCCATATCATGGGGCTGTCAGAACCCGCACAGGATCCGAACAAGAAGATGAGACCATCGAGCATATAATCTACGATTGCTCGACGCTCTCATTTATTAGGAGATTTGTGTTCAGCGAGTATCGGCTAACACCGACCGATATAAGAGCACCTCTTGGCGACGCTGTCAACTACATTAAATCTGTAGGCTGACTCACGAGCTAGGAGGTGCCTATCGTCTTAGAAGGATGTACAATGGGCCTAGTGAGGCCTAAGTGCCGTGGGGGGTAACCCACTCTCTACACGTTACAGATACAGAGGTAGCATCTCTTATGGCCAAACTTCATAATAATAATTGAAAGGATGAATTACCATTAATTTTATTAGGTTAGAGAACAGTAACGGAAAATTTGAAGTGTTCTTCCGCTGAACTAGTCTACGGACAATCTTTAAGATTACCAGGATTTTTTACAGACAGTAGTGAAAATTGTGATACTGATTCATTTTTAATTAAATTACATTTTGATAACATAAAACCATCTAAATAGACACGGTACAACGAAATTTTTTATTTCACCAGATTTGATGAAAAATGATTTCGTTTTTGTTAAAGTCCTTACAAAGGCCTTACAAATTCATTAGTAGAGATGATAAAGTTTTTAAAATTCTAATTAATAGTAAATAATCATTAATTAATATTGATATGTTGGAGCCAGCCTTTTTGTTAACAGAACAAGATGTTCAAAATGTTATTTCAAAACCAAAGAAAAAGGTTTCTTTTGTATAAAAAATGTATAAATATTTATATTTTTATATGGGTTTCTTTTTTTTGAGCGGGGAGGTTATGTGGTGACATTGCAAGCACCACATAGACAGAGGCTGATCCAAACCGGATTAATATCTGGTTAAAAGCTGATCAAAATCTGATTAAAAGGTGATCAAAACCTGATCTAAACCTGATTAAAAGCTGACAGGTAATGTTAAGTTAGGTCAGGTTAGGTTAAGTTAGCAACAGTTGGCTGTCATGACGAGTGACTGATATGGACAAAAATTTCAAGAATGAACCTTAGCGATTTCCAATATTAATTCACATAAGGATTGTGCTAGAACTCTTGTTGCCCCTATACTACT